TAGCGCTTTTTATTGAATGTAATAATGATAACAGTAATAACTAAACGTCTGATAATACGATAATAGTAATGATAATAGTAATAACTAAAGGTACAATAAAGGTACCTCCCTGTTTCCTATAGCGTCAGACTTTTCTAATTCCAAAGCAACATATACAACAATACCGCCCAGCTTTTTAATGAAACTTGCACATTGGCGATATTTACTTTTCAATATTGATGATATGCCAGCCTGGCTGGCAGCATCCATGAGGGCTGTGTCAGACTTATTCATAACATGATAGTTTCTTCAAGTTGAAGGAAACCTGTTATATAACTTGGATATTTGTTGGTCTTCGACATCTGATGACTTTGAGACTGTAGGGCCGTTTTTCCAGTTTCTCCACCAGTTTCTGTCAAACAGAATGTTCAAGGTGAGGGGTGGTTCATGCTACTCGCGGAGTTGCCTCTCGAAGGGGGTCCCACAGGGCATTATTCTGAGCATCACATGTTTTATTATATCCATGGATGGTGTGGTCATTGTAATCCCTGACGGTGTCCAGGCCTCATTGTATGTGGATGATGCTGAAGTTTACTGCACGGTGTCTACTCCTTAGGGGACGTGTCACCTACTTCAGATGGCAATGGATAACATGAAGGTGTTGGCTACTTCTAATGGCTGCAGGTTTCCAACTCCGAAGCAAGCTGATCATTTTATCCATTCCAAAGTTCGATAGCCTGCTTCCTGTGTGCTGATCCATGGTGTACTCGTTCCCGTTGAGCAACAGGTGACGTTTATGAAGATTTTTGATCACCATCTAATGTAGGCTTCTCATATAAAGATGATCAAAGTGGACGCTCTGCAGGTACTAGACATTGTGCAAGTGCTCTCCTTCTATGACTAGAGGGCAGATCGGTGGACAATATTCCACCTTAATGTGGTCTTGTGCCATTCCAGGCTGGAATATGGCTGCCAGATCTACTCCTTGGTCAACTCTTCCTGTTGTGCTTACAGAACTCTTGTTTCATCACTTTGCGTTTTCTACTTTCCCTTCTGTGTCGAGTCTAGTGACGTTCTCTTGGATCTCCGCTGTGAGGGGTTCAGCCTGCGTTGTTTCGCGTTTCGGTGTACTTCTGGCAGTCCAGCTTTCGATGTGGCCTTTGTTGGGGAGGGAGCCCTTTGCTTGTTGTGTTAGGCTTTCCGTTTGGATGCAGGCCCTTCTTCTGGAGTGTAACCTCTCTATCTGACATTGGAACACATTTTATCAGTTTACCCACGAGTTAGACCTTTCCGTCCTCGTCCTGGCTTTTATAATTACCTGGCTGCCTGTAGGGCTCTCGGGGAAAGTTTTGGGGAGTCTGTTGACGTTTATACTTTAATAAGACTGTGAAGGCTTACTCAGCCCTGTAACAACTTCAGACAGTATTACCAAGGCTGGCTCCTCCTCAGGAAAATTAGTGAATAGAAGAAGAAATAACAGACGAACATAAACACTTTATTATATAGAAAATATAAAACACTTAAATATGAAATATTAATCCTACATTAAAGAAAATGAAAAATGAAAAATATAAATGATAACTGAATTCAACGCTAATACATATAGGGGTGTATGGTGTTGGTGACACTGAGTTGTTGAAATCGTAGCAGTTGCTGATGATGGGGGGGGGGGGTCGCAGCTGTTGGTTACAACCCACCGGTTCGTTCTTCACAGTATAGCCTTGAGTATTCTATCCCGATGACAGGAAAGCAGGTTCTTTACCGCTGCAATGATGAGGGGTTACGTCCTGCAGTTTCATACAGGTGCACAGGTAATTAAATCCAAAAAGGGGAAGTCTCAGGACGTTAGTCCATCTCCATCAGTTCTGCTCGTTGATTGGCAGGTGACCCTCTCTGTCATCCAAGCTGGAAAGATAGACGGTTACCCACTGCTTAAGAAATAACTCTCCATGATAAGTACAATACCTAAAAGATGTGGTGATTATTACAACAGTCAACCTAGAGCAAGACTGAAATGACTAAGTTTATTATTGGTCAAAAGTGAAGCTTTCAACCAATAAATCCACTAGAATACAAGGCAGGCATGTACTTACAGTAGTGCTGGGAGCTGTGAGTCAAGTGATTACTGTTTGGACTGGAGCCCCACACGTCACCTTTCGGGGGGGGGGAGAAGGAGGGGAAGGGATAGTGGGCGCTAGACTGACCCTACCTTAACAAGCAGCCGGCAGTCAAACTATCACTTTCGGGGTGGGGGAAAAAAGGCGGGAATAGCGGGAGCTTGACTTACCCTACCTTAACAAGTAGCCGGCAATGAAACTATTGTTACTATATACTCCCTCTCTACTCCTATCTATTGAACTTTTCCCTCACAAAGACTTTCAACTGATTCTGGTTATTGTAATTTGGCATGGTAGTATTTATCTGTAGTGAGAGTTTTATTCATGTTCATATATTTTACTGTATGTTAATTTAATATTTGTGACCCCAATTTGTGACCCCCCATATTTGTGACCCCAATTTGTGACCCCCCATATTTGCGACCCCAATTGTGACCCCTTGGTGTGTCCCATCTCTGAAACATCCTGTCCCTGTCCACCTTGTCGATATTTCTCAGTAATTTATGCAATCTTATAGGGTAGGGTAGTCGAACCCAGTGTCTACCAAAGACTGGAAAACGTTCCTTCTTCCCTAAAGAGACGTGACTCTTGAACCTCCCGCTGAAGTGACTCCTCTTGAACCTTCCGCTTTAGTGATTCCTCTTGAACCTCCCGCTTGAATGACTCCTCTTGAACCTCCAGCTTGAGTGAATCCTCTTGAATCTCCCGCTTGTCTCCAAGTGCGTGGGTAACACGTGAAATATGAATGGCTCCACAAGTCTAGCGTGTTTCATATATCAAAGTACACAGCCAGGGAAACTATTATGATAACCATTGTTAAAGCAAACTGCGGCAGCAGCTGTTGCTTAGATAAGACTGGAAAAACTATTACAATTACATTGCACGCGCACGTGTCTGTGTGTGTACACGTGTTTTTGGTTGTAGGTTCGAGTCCTAGCTCCAGACCCCGCTTCTCCGCTAGTCGTTATTGGGTTTCGTCTCTCCTGGGTGCGCTAAGGATGTATCTTGCTACATTACTTCAGTGCCCAGGTAGGTCCATATTCTGACCACTATGAGGCTGAAGAAGCATTTCCAGATATCCCTGTTACTCATCTGTGGTTTTCATTTCCAGCTTTACCCTTGTGATCTTGTTTCCCACCTCTCGAACAGTCTTTTCCTGTCCACCCAATCAGTTTTTCTCAGTATTCTGTACGTTATCATGTCACTCCTGGTCCCTCTGTCTTCTAATGGCATTAGGTTTAACTCCTTTAATCTCTCGTCATAGCTGATACCCCTGAACTCACAAGGTGTTGGTTTAATACTGGCGCTGGATACACTAAGATATACATAACGTATGCCGTATAGAGTGTCGTGAAGGACTCCTTTCTGAGGTTCCTGAAAACTAATCTTAGATTTCCCCGATGTGCGTTTGCTGCAGCTATTATTCGGTTATTGCGAACCTCAGGTGATATTAGGTATGGTATTAAGCTCACCTCGAGGTCCTTGATTAAGGTTCCATGAGTCTGTAATCTGACATTTTTTGGCCCTTCCCCAATTTTCATAACTTTGCATTTGCTGGTGTTAAATTTTAATAGCTACTGTCAGACCTATCCTGCAGCTTGTACAGGTCCGTTGGTAGTCTTTCCTGGTCCTCGTCCTCTCCTCTTTGTGTTCTCTTTATTAGTTTCACATCCACATATACGGATGCCTCTGTTTCCTTTTATGTCGTTCACAAACATATAAAGTAGCAACGGTGCCAGTACTGACCCCTAGGGAGCCCCATTCGTTACACCTTCTTTGACAGTCTCTAGTTGTCTTCTTCTTGTTCACTGTTCCTTGATCTTTTATGGTGCCAGCTCTATTATTCCGTCTTACTCCTCTAGCTTTCGTCTCAGTCTCCTAAGCGTTGATGAATCAAAAGTCATCTTGCAGTTCAAAATTATGCAATCCATCCATCTCTCTCTCTTTCGCGCTCGCGCGCGTTTGCCCAGCTTTTGTTACCTTGTCACAGAACTCTAGTGTGTGTATGTACTCACCTATAGGGGGTTGCAGGGGTCAAGTCACGGCTTCTGGCCCCGTATGTGTGTGTGTGTGTGTGTGTGTGTGTGTGTGTGTGTGTGTGTGTGTGTGTGTGTGTGTGTGTGTGTGTGTGTGTGCGTGTGCGTGTGCGCACTTATATGTACATATCAGTATGTGGTTGCAAGGAGTCTAGTCCTAGCTACTGGCTCAGCCTCAACTGCTAGCCAGATTAACTCAGTCCTATTCTCATAGACCTCTCTTACCTACTATTAGAGCTTGATAAAGAGCCTGCCTCCACCACTCCTTCATCTAAATCATTCCACTTCCTAACCACCAGGAGGCTGAAGAAATACTTCCTGACATCACTAAGACTCATCTGTATCTTAAACTTTCAACTGTTCTTCGTGTACCTGTTTCCTGTCACAAATGCATTTGTGGTCACAGAAATGCGGGGGCCGCGGGGGCGTTGACCCCCGGAACTCCAGGTAAACTCCAGGTAAACTGGATGAAGTTTATCAGGTCGGGATGGTCCAGTAGATAACGCACTAACTTGGCTTCAAACCCTTCGTTTAGTAAACTGATTACAATAGCGTCATTATAATAATAATAATAACAAGAAAAAACAATAAACAATGCATGTTTTCATTTCTCTGATTAGGCCGCGAGGGCGTTGACCCCCGGAATACCCTCCAGGTAGGGTGGTTCAAGTGCATTTCGTGTTGCAGGAAAAAACAACTCTAGTATACACTGGGTTGTACTTTGAACATTATGCATTTGTGCATAATAGTACACGTGAATGTCAGCGGGATTAATGAGAGGTGCGGAGCACGTGTCTGAGGTCTTGGGTGAGGGGTGTGGAAAAGAACAAAGGGCGAGGTCGTTGCAGTGCTCAGCTGGTTGTGATAAACTTGGGTGGAGGGAGGATAGACGGGTATGAGTGGGCGAGCTGGTAGATGGGTGGGTGGGTTGAAAGATATACATTTAAGAACTGCTGAATGGGCTTGTTAGTCCAATATCAGCTCTCCAAGGAACACGTCTAGCTCTCCACAGTAAGTTTTAATGCTCAACCATCGCATTCCTTAGCTTTGATGCCAGTTAAAGCCTCACAAAACTGGTGTATCATATATAGTGGGAAGCTGTGATTGGTTTGGGACTCTGTATAATAGCCAGTGTAAGGTATACCTCGAGAGATGCCTTTCACTGAGGGATACCTTCACAGATACTGCTAACCTGACCAGATTTACTTGATGAATGTAGATAATATTTTATCAGTGGATCTAACTTGATTGCCTCCCATTCCCCTGATGCTGTATAACTCATAAGGGTTTAGCACTTCCCCTTGAATAGAAAAAAGTAAATAAAAATATATCGACTCTCAAAGCAGATTTCCACATACAGGAAAGTACTGAGGAGGTTATTGGAACAATTGTACTTTGTCTTCGATGTTGGGTCATCGTCCTTACCTTCTGGTGGTGGTTCTGATCGCGGCTACGTTGCCCTATAGAACACTGGGTCAGAGGGCAGAGACCTACTGCTTCACAGATGACCCTGACCCCTATATCAAGTTTGGCACCAAGACTGCTTACACCTTGGCTAATGGAGAGTTTACCCATGAGGACCTTGTTCCAGCAGGTCAGTGGCTGGTGCTGCTGTAACATTAGTGTACCGTAACAGCGCCTGATACATCTGTGTTAGTGATCTGTGTAACGCTGCTTGTAGTCGCTACAGTATATAGTGTACCTGTAACAATGATCGGTATAGCTATAACAATGCCTGGTGTAGCTGTAGCAGTGCCTAGTGTAATTAGTAGTGCCGGATGAGCGATTAGTTTATTGTGTACTCCATGCTGATCCTCTAAAACCGGTCTGAAACCAGTTCACTCTCGTCACAAAGAGGCGATGAATAAATTAAATGCACACAAGGGAACTTAAGAATATTTAAATTTTGTAAAACTGTAGCGAATACTGTTAAATGTGGACACGTATAAGGTCCTAATTCTGGGAAAAGAAAATAACATAGGCACGTTAAACTAAATAATACAATCAATTATACACGATATGTAAAGGATCTATTCGTCCTGATTACAAAAAAAAATCTGAAGCCAAAACAATAATATTTTAGTGAACAGTCTAACAAATCGCTTCAATTAATATTAAAACTAACATTGTTTATAAAGCCTTATGTAGAATATGAGTTGAATGGTCACATAAACTATGGAAAACATGCAGAAATTTACTGAGTCCTGAGAGCACGCTACCTTGGAAGGTGTAAATGAAGGGGAATAATACTGAGGTGTATAGTAGAAGACTTGTGTATAGTAGAAGACTTGTGTATAGTAGAAGACTTGTGTATAGTAGAAGACTTGTGTATAGTAGAAGACTTGTGTATAGTACAAGACTTGCGTATAGTAGAAGACTTGTGTATAGTACAAGACTTGTGTATAGTAGAAGACTTGTGTATAGTAGAAGACTTGTGTATAGTAGAAGACTTGTGTATAGTACAAGACTTGCGTATAGTAGAAGACTTGTGTATAGTACAAGACTTGTGTATAGTAGAAGACTTGTGTATAGTAGAAGACTTGTGTATAGTAGAAGACTTGTGTATAGTAGAAGACTTGTGTATAGTACAAGACTTGTGTATAGTACAAGACTTATGTATAGTACAAGACTTGTGTATAGTAGAAGACTTGTGTAAAAGTAGAAGACTTGTGTATAGTAGAAGACTTGTGTATAGTAAAAGACTTGTGTATTAGTACAAGACTTGCGTATAGTAGAAGACTTGTGTATAGTAGAAGACTTGTGTATAGTAGAAGACTTGTGTATAGTAGAAGACTTGTGTATAGTAGAAGACTTGTGTATAGTAGAAGACTTGTGTATAGTACAAGACTTGTGTATAGTACAAGACTTGTGTATAGTACAAGACTTGTGTATAGTACAAGACTTGTGTATAGTAGAAGACTTGTGTATAGTAGAAGACTTGTGTATAGTAGAAGACTTGTGTATAGTACAAGACTTGCGTATAGTAGAAGACTTGTGTATAGTACAAGACTTGTGTATAGTAGAAGACTTGTGTATAGTACAAGACTTGTGTATAGTACAAGACTTGTGTATAGTACAAGACTTGTGTATAGTACAAGACTTGTGTATAGTACAAGACTTGTGTATAGTACAAGACTTGTGTATATGTAAACAATATGAACAATTTGCTCAACATTTATCACCAAGGAAGGACGCCGGACTATGAATTAATGTTGGATAAATTAAAATTTGGGAAGTATATACGAGCTTGGTCACAGACCGGGCCGCGGGGGCGTTGACCCCCGAAACCCTCTCCAGGTATTCATATGTAATTATAGTTGAAGAATGTGACACTTGTGTAACATTTGAGAATCAACAAAGATTTTTAGATGGTGAACAACTGTCTCATTCTTCAAATTACCGGTTATCAAAACTTTCCATCACACTTGAATATAACTGTTGATCAATGGGACAAAACGCCAAGTAGCGTTATTAAAGCAAATATTTCTGGAAGTTTTCAAAGTGATTTGGCCAGATACTTGTGTGAGAATGACTGGGTGTGAGTTAGACCTGCCCAGGATGAGTCTGTAAGACAACTGCAGTGTTTCTCTTTCTCTTATATCTTGGTGTGTCATGTGTGAGGCAGGGTGCGAGGCCCGGCAGGCGTGGCACCTGGTGAGGCATGGCACCCGCTACCCCTCGGAGGATGACATCGCTGTCTTCCTTGTCCTCCTACCCACGCTCCAGGATGCCATCCTCCTCGCTCACCAAGATGGTCAAGGTTAGTGTCATAGGGAGCCCCAAGGAGGATCATGATCACAAAAATTGTCTAAACAGTATCAGATTCATTTGCAAAATATGAAACGCAATGCGAACCTTTTACAACTAATTCATAAAAACAAAATGTTAATGTGAAATATGCTGTATAAGTATATACAAGCTTATAAGTACTTATGACATCGGCTAAATGAATGTGATAACAGTAATTTTTATTTTCTTATTTTTAATCAGTATACAGGTGAAAAAAATAACTTATCTACATGTTATAATCAAACCTGAGTAATCATATGTTTAATCTGAGAGTAGTCACGAAAGCGCTTGGAACTTCTCTACTCTTTCACAGTGGTTGTTTTGCATATATATATATATATATATATATATATATATATAATATATATATATATATATATATATATATATATATTATATATATATATATATATATATATATGTCGTGCCGAATATGTAAAACTGGTCATTTAGCAAGAATTCATTTAAAATTAAGTCCTTTCTGAAATTTTCTCTTATACGTTTAAAGATATATTTTTTTCATTAATGTTAATGTAAAAAATTTTAATTTTTCACCAAAAGAATCTTATAAAACTTACCTAACCTTATTATAACAAGAACAATTTATTTTAGCCTAACCCAACTAAATATATTTTAGATTTGTTTACAGTAATTTAATACTAAACAAACACAGTGAAATATATTTTTTTTCGTTAGGGTCAGAATGATTTTGGAGAAATTAATGCATACACAAATTTTCACTTGTCCTATATGGCAAGATGAGCGTTGCTATTTAAGCCAAGATAGCAAGTTCTGCCTATTCGGCACGACATATATATATATATATATATATATATATATATTATATATATATATATTATATATATATATATATATATATATATATATATATTCGAACCTACGAACCTTGGAACAAGGTACGCAGTGACAATACCTTGGAGTCCAGCTTGCGCTAGACTTTGATCCAAGGCAGCCAGCTTTCAGGGAGAAGGCTTACAGCTTTTCATCTCATCCCCTGCATGCATCAGCCTTACTAGAGATATTAACAATGCAAGGAATTCGCAAGAGCAGGCCAGAGATCAGTGTTTGTGTATATTTCGCCTGCTCTTGCGAATTCCTTGCATTGTTAATATCACTAGTAAGGCTGATGCATGCAGGGGATGAGATGAAAAGCTGTAAGCCTTCTCCCTGAAAGCTGGCTGCCTTGGATCAAAGTCTAGCGCAAGCTGGACTCCAAGGTATTGTCCAGTGTGGGTAGATTGGTAAAACACTGCGTTCCTTGTTCCAAGGTTCGTAGGTTCGAGTCTCCTTCAGCCAGAGATCAGTGTTTATGTATATTTCGCCTGCTCTTGCGAATTCCTTGTATATATTATATATATTATATATATATATATATATATATATATATATATATATATATATATATATATATATATATATATATATATATTTTTTTTTTTTTTTTTTTTTTTTTCAACAAGTCGGTCGTCTCCCACCGAGGCAGGGTGACCCACAAAAAAGAAAGAAAATCCCCAAAAAGAAATACTTTCATCATCATTCAACACTTTCACCACACTCACACATTATCACTGCTTTTGCAGAGGTGCTCAGAATATAACAGTTTAGAAGCATATACGTATAGAGATACACAACATATCCCTCCAAACTGCCAATATCCCAAACCCCTCCTTTAAAGTGCAGGCATTGTACTTCCCATTTCCAGGACTCAAGTCCGACTATATGAAAATAACCGGTTTCCCTGAATCCCTTCACTAAATATTACCCTGCTCACACTCCAACAGATCGTCAGGTCCCAAGTATCATTCGTCTCCATTCACTCCTATCTAACACGCTCATGCACGCTTGCTGGAAGTCCAAGCCCCTCACCCACAAAACCTCCTTTACCCCCTCTTTCCAACCCTTTCGAGGACGACCCCTACCCCTCTTTCCTTCCCCTATAGATTTATATGCTTTCCATGTCATTCTACTTTGATCCATTCTCTCTAAATGACCAAACCACCTCAACAACCCCTCTTCTGCCCTCTGACTAATGCTTTTATTAACTCCACACCTTCTCCTAATTTCCCCCCACTCCAAATTTTTCTGCATAATATTTACACCACACATTGCCCTTAGACAGGCCCTCTCCACTGCCTCCAACCGCTCCTCGCTGCTGCTTTACCACCCAAGCTTCACATCCATATAAGAGTGTTGGTACTACTATACTTTCATACATTCCCTTCTTTGCCTCCATAGATAACGTTTTTTGACTCCACATATACCTCAACGCACCACTCACCTTTTTTCCCCTCATCAATTCTATGATTCACCTCATCCTTTATAAATCCATCCGCTGACACGTCAACTCCCAAGTATCTGAAAACATTCACTTCTTCCATACTCCTCCTCCCCAATTTGATATCCAATTTTTCTTTATCTAAATCATTTGATACCCTCATCACCTTACTCTTTTCTATGTTCACTTTCAACTTTCTACCTTTACACACATTCTCAAACTCATCCACTAACCTTTGCAATTTTTTTTTCTTTAAATCTCCCATAAGCACAGTTTTCATCAGCAAAAAGTAACTGTGTCAATTCCCATTTTGAATTTGATTCCCCATAATTTAATCCCACCCCTCTCCCGAACACCCTAGCATTACTTCTTTTACAACCCCATCTATAAATATATTAAACAACCATGGTGACATTACACATCCCTGTCTAAGACCTACTTTTACCGGGAAGTATTCTCCCTCTCTTCTACACACCCTAACCTGAGCCTCACTATCCTCATAAAAGCTCTTTACAGCATTTAGTAACTTACCACCTATTCCATAAACTTGCAACATCTGCCACATTGCTCCTCTATCCACTCTATCATATGCCTTTTCTAAATCCATAAATGCAATAAAAACTTCCCTACCTTTATCTAAATACTGTTCACATATATGCTTCAATGTAAACACTTGATCTACACATCCCCTACCCACTCTGAAACCTCCTTGTTCGTCCGCAATTCTACATTCTGTCTTACCTCTAATTCTTTCAATTATAACCCTACCGTATACTTTTCCTGGTATACTCAGTAAACTTATTCCTCTATAATTTTTACAATCTCTTTTGTCCCCTTTCCTTTATATAAAGGGACTATACATGCTCTCCGCCAATCCCTAGGTACCTTCCCCTCTTTCATACATTTATTAAACAAAAGTACCAACCACTCCAACACTATATATATATATATATATATATATATATATATATATATATATATATATATATATCTGTGTGTGTGTGTGTGTGTGCAAAAAACTCTCGTCACTTCCCTTTCCTTCTCCACCAGGAGAGTTGTGTGAGGGAGACTTGAAGCTGCTGGCGGACTGGTCGCTGGGAGACCTCAACGTGAGCTGGGCTAACGTGCTCACATCTCAGGGACACCTGGAGTTAGAAGGCCTCGCGACCAGGTACAAAGAAGCCATCCCGCTCCTCCTAGATCAACCCTTCACAAACGAGTCGTTCAAGGTATATTGTTAAGTGGACACAGTCATTGATCCACTCGTATAACGCCAGTAAACATTAACTCCTTGCGGAAACCCATTTATTGTTTTGTGCCGCTTGATTGCTTTCAACTGATTCCCTTTAATTTCCTATTTATTTAATAACAAATGCAGCTGAAGCTCGATGCAAATGCATATAAGGCAATTCGCAAACAAGAAAGAAGGTACGCCTGAATTTACTTTCAAAACAAGACTGCGTGTGGTGTTATAGGAATTGATTTATGTACATAAGCAATTAAGTTGAGCTATGAAAGTTTGAAAATAAGCTCTTAATCATCGTCATCGTCAGTTCCGACACACGGCCACTCAGAGGACGGAGGCCAGCGCGAGGTCCTACGCTCAGGGACTCTTCGGCAGTGACGTCTACATTCCATCTCCCATCGACCCAGATCCTCTACTCAAGGTACGCGGGAACTCAGGCAAATAATCCTGTGCCACGAAAATCTCTTTATTTTGTCTCCCTAAAACACATTATTCTCAAGTTAATACTTCCTTAACCATGACACCGTTGTTTGCTCTCCCCAGAGTCCATCACTCATCTGTTTACATTTCCTCATCTACGACACTGCTGTTTGCTTCCCCTTGGATTTGACTCATTCCTGTCTAGTCTTCGAACCGCGAGTCTCCACCACTCCTTACATCATATTACAAATGGTATACAGTACCGCCAAGCTGAAGAGTAAGATGTGCAACATTTGGCCTCTGAAGCACTGGCCACTTGCGTTAGCTTTAGGCTAAGAGAATGATTATCTTGCACTAAGGTTGATGGACTGATTACATCACACTACTTCTCCATGTCTTCTACTTCGTCTTCCCCCAAGGCTGATGTCTCCAGGAGTGCGATTCATTCATCCCTGTTTTCGAATGAAGCCTGGAGCTCAGGCGAAACGTTTCGTCATTGAAGATTCCCACTGTTGTGTATATGTCTTACTCACCAATAACTCCTTGCTCTGAATGACACACAAAAAATGTCTGAACCTCAGCCACAGAATGTGATCCACTCGTTTCTTTGAAATAATTCCCTCCTGGCTACTTCCTCAGGACTTTAGTTACTCTCTTGCCTACTTTTCCCCTGGAATCTGACCCTCTTCTCTCTACTGTTTCTGGGTGGTGATACCTTCCACATGTCTCCTTTCCCAGGGATCTGACAATTATGACACATTAAAATGTTGTGCTGTTACAACACTTGTTTCGTCACCTCTTATAGAAGGTTCCTTGATGATGGAGAGGGGCTCTTGAACCTACTAAGAATTAGATTAGTCCTTCCCTTCTTTGGATTGAATCTGACTATCTTCAAATTCCGAAGAACTGTATGATCACCTACAGATTTAGCGCTTCTCCCTAAATATAATAATAATAATAATAATAATAATAATAATAATAATAATAATAATAATAATAATAATAATAATAATAATAATAATAATAATGTTTGAAATGCATTAATTAAATAACTTACGAAATCGTAGTAACGTGATTTCAAACAAGTCAGGGAATAGACTAGAGCTTGAATCCATGACCTGTGACCTTTAAGAGTCACTGGCCATGGGTTTAAATCCCACCCGTTCCGTGATTTGATTAATTTCGTAGGAAGAAGTCCCACTGTAGGAAGCAACTCCCTGAGTCACTCCCTTTACCCACAGTTCTACAAAGTGTGCAACGACTACGTGACGGAGGTAGCGGACAACCCTGAGGCAACGATAGAGAGTCAACTGTATCAGGAGGGAGAGAAGATGGCTACTGTTGTTGACAATGTCTCCCTACGCCTCGGCATCCCCCTCGGCTTCGGTAAGACCACAGAGATATTGCTCTTGAACACATATTCTCTCTCTCTCTCTCTCTCTCTCTCTCTTTCTCTCTCTCTCTCTCTCTCTCTCTTTTTTTTTTTTACACAGGGTTTGACAAGGTTAAGGATCCCTAGCTTTATTGACAAGCTATTTACAGGTTAAGGATTCTAATTTATGGCAAGCTAAGAGCTTTACCCACTCAGTCATTTGAAAGATTTTTTATTATTAAGACACTACAAATGGGAACAAAAGGGTGAAGTTGGAGCATCTGTGGGCCCCCCGCATTTTTTTTTGATCAACTGATTTATCCGTTGAAAAAATTTTGCTGTCGAATGTGTTCCCTACTGGGCCCTCCTGGGGGTGTTGATCTCAGATGGAGTGTGTTTGGAGAAGGGGACAGCCGAGTGAAGTTGTGCTTTCTGCCCCCCTTTTTGGCATAAAAGCTTTTTTCCGCGTCCCCGAGTGGATCCAAGTGTGGTATTTTGACAATTTGGCCTTGACTAACAGTAAGGCCACCCCCAAACCCCCCATGTTGAAGGCTCTGTGAAAGAAGATCTATCCCGGGTGGGTCCCGGGAGAGATGAGAGTCTTGTTCGTTCTTATCTGTCAAGCAGTTTCCGATGAGAGGGGGGGGAGGCAAACCAAGAAAAATGGGGCATATAATGTGTGAGGTATTGCGCCTCGTACAGGGGGTCTTGCAACCCTATGTAAGCAGATGCGAGATACGGCGAAGGCTGTAAGCTTCCTGGCGCCTGTTTGCAAAATTTACAACAGGTTCTTCATGGTTAGTTTGGAGTCAAATTTCACCCCCAAAGGATATAAACTTTTTCTCCGGGGCCAACACCCCCCCATTCATCCTTAACTACCAGATTTTCCATCTGGTGCCTAGAGACGATCATCATTTGCGTTTTCTAGGTCAAATGTTACTTGCCCTATTTCCCCAAGCTGATATAGCTTCACTGGTGATTGATGAGCTTAGAGCAGCTGGGGATTTCTTCTCTTGGTAAGTGAATGTCGTGACAGTCGTTTGATATGATGTGATTTGGGATGAGGAAAACCTGCAGCAGAGTAATTTTCCCTGAACCCATATTGACGATCACAAAGTAGGAGTGGAGTCAAAAAACTCTGTATTTTCTTAGTTTAGTTCAAGGTCTTTACCAGTGTTTGCAGGAGTGACAGGGTCTGTTTGCGATTTTCCCTTGCTTTCTTTTTGTGACGGGGCTACATTTGCCTTTTCCCCATAGAGAGGGCCATTTACCTGTATGGGCAGGCGAAAGATGCGATTAGGGGTGCTGCTAGTGGTTGAATCTTTAAACAATCTTGGGCTAAACTTGTCTGGGAAACAGCCTTTTCTTGGTAAAGCGATTTAAGGGGGAAAATGCACCTCCCCCTGCCTTTTTTGTCCCACTAAGTTTTGACACAGTTCTGCAGCTAGCCAAGAACTTGCTTTTGGTAGCAAAGTGTTCAGCAAAGAGGTCCGCCTTTCTCTTGACTACTATAGAGGTGGTCCCATCCTGTCGATTTAGAGGTGGAATGAGCTCATCGGGCAGATAACCTTGTCTGTCCTTGACCAGGGACCACCGGGTTTTTGGAGCTACCCTACCTGATGATAGCTTTCTTTTAGTGTCCACCTCCCATTTAGCAATGGCCCCCTTTTGAACGTCACCCATATGCTACGGCTGCATGTGCAAGTTCCTGTTATAGGTGGTGGGATTCTCTTTTACCTTCGCCATGCTTTGTATTTAGCATAGCAGCCTCTCTACAACGAAAGCCAAACCAAGGCTGATCTGTAGGCTTTGTCACATATTGCCGGTGAGGAATGTGTTCTTGCTGTAGATTAAGGGTGTGTCCAGTAAAGGCTTTCACTTGGTTGTCAACATCCCCTTGGAGAAGAGCATTCCAATCGGTGGTGGCGAGCTCAGAGCGAAGGGCTGGCCAATTACCTCTTTCCCATAGCCAGGTTGTGCGTGGGACTCCTCCCCTCGTTCTGTTGGGATCTTAAGTGTCGTAAAACAGCCTTGTGGTCAGACGATCCAACGTAGCCGAGGGGTTGACAAGTGATATGCCTTCTGCCAGATCACTCACTACTGGGTCAAGGGAGGAGCCAGAGATATGAGTAGGGAAATCAACAAAGTTTCTCAGGAAGGATATAGGAAAGTACTGGTTTGGTAATAGAGTTGTGGATGAGTGGAACAAACTCCCAAGTACCGTTATAGAGGCCAGAACGTTGTGTAGCTTTAAAAATAGGTTGGATAAATAATGATAGATTTTGGGTGGGTGTGAGTTAGACCTGATTAGCTCGTGCTTTCCAGGGCGGTTTGCCGTGTTCCTCCCCTTAGTCAATGTGACCTGACCTGACTAGGTTGGTGCATTGGCTTAAGCCGGTAGGAGACTTGGACCTGCTCGCATTTGGGGCCCGTAGGCCTTCTCAGTGTTCCATCGTTCTTATGTTTCTTATGTTTCTTATGTCAAACACACTGCAAGAAGGTCATCAAAGTCCCTCTGTTTTAAGGTCTGGTTTTTAAATTCAAATTCAAATTCAAAGTTTTTCTCTATAAGGATTACAATGCTAGTTTACAGAAATTTGGTCATTGTTTGGTTTACAGTAGTAAAATTGAGATTACAGAGTGTACCACTAGAACGCTTAGCATGGGTAGGCATTTCGGGCAGACTTAGTTTTATTCTTAATTGTAAATATTAAAAATTATGAGGTAATTTGTATTATGGCAAATGACTAAATACTAGTTTGTGTTTTTAGCAAGGAAGCTTTTTTTTTGGGCACAGTACATGTTTCAGTTTTGGGAGTAACAGGTTTCTTTTTTTAAGACTGAAAAAAAATATTCGTTTATGGTCAAATGGTGATGAGTGTAAGGTGAACCACCAGGGGTTTTCGTATAGTTTTTTGACGGGTTATCAGGAGATGAATGTTTCTAAGGGTTTTTTGAAGGGGATAATGTGCTGCAGTTTCTAGATTCTCGGGTAGGGGTATTCCAGTTTTTGGGGCCCTTTTACAACTTAAATTTTTTTGAAAAGGGTTTTATCACACGGGGAATGTCGTAGAATTTTTTAGTCTGGTGTTTCCCTGTGGGTTCTGTCACAACATCAAGAAAGCATTTTAGGTAAAGGGTTTTGATATTAAGTTAAGGGCCCCTTGTAGATGTAATTGCAAGTAGAAATTTTGGGAAGTACTGACGGGAGAAATTTAGATCTAGAAAGTGGGGGGTGTGTTGCCAGGGATGGGGTTTTGTGATTATTCTTACGCAGTTTTTTTGGGTTTTTATTGGGTTTTGGGGTTTTTGCGCAGTTGATCCCCAAGCACAAAAAGCAAGGTGAGGATGGATAAATAAGTGAGGGGGAAGTGGAGAAGGGCATTTTGCGGCACGTAGTATCGTATCTTGGAGAGGATCCCAACCGTTTTGGATACTTTTTTGGCTAAAATGCTGGATATGGGTGCTGAAATTCAGGTTGTTGTCAAGGTAAAGCCTGGGAAATTTTTTCCCCCCATTATTTCTGATAATTAGAGTGTTTGTCAATCTTAATGTTAATTTGTGCATCTCCTGCTCTGCTACCAAACATAATATAGTAGGTTTTGTCAGTGTTAAGCGTAAGTTTTATTGGCTGTCACCAAGTCGATATTTTAATCAGCTCCTCATTCACAATGGTGTTGAGGGTGGCAAGATTAGGGTGAGAGATGACATAAGTCGTGTCATCAGCAAAGAGAATGGGTTTCAGGTGTTGGGATACGTTTGGAAGGTCATTGATGTATATGAGGAAGAGCAGGGGACCAAGGACACTTCCCTGCGGAACTCCAGTATCAAGTGGCCGTGTTGCCGATGCTGTGTCTTTAATGGTGACGTACTGATACCTATTAGTAATGTAAGATTTGAAATAAGCAACAACAACAATTATAATATGTTGATAGTTGTGTTGTAGCAGAAGGGAGTCGATATTTTCCATTAGGAAGTTGATGGGGTCTGCATGTTGCCACTGAGGTCTGTACATTGCACATGCTAGTACAGAGGTACTAGTGTTTATACAGATGTATCTCTCTCTCTCTCTCTCTCTCTCTCCCTCTCTCTCTCTCTCTCTCTCTCTCTCTCTCTCTCTCTCTCTCTCTCTCTCTCTCTCTCTCTCTCTCTCCCTCTCTCTCCTCTCTCTCTCTCCTCTCCTCTTTAATCCCCTTCCCCCTCTCTCTTTTATTACATATCCATAATGCGTATTTATTTGAGGATTTTTAGCAAGCTCATCTTAACTGGATCTGACTTAGTAAAGTTCTTCGATTCATACCTAATCAGCTGTTTCCGATTTGTGCAGCAGTTGTAAATATAACGCATCTGTTCTTGAACAGAGGAGATTGAGGTGTTGTACGATGCCTGTCGCTACTACAAGGCCTGGGACCCTACCGCTGCTGCTGCCTGGTGCGTGGCGTTCACATCTGACGACCTCAAGGTGGGCATCTCTCTCTCTGTTATGCCTCTTGCCACCACTTCAGGATTGCTACCAGTGGAACTCATGCATGTGTATCGTTGTCAACAGAAAATATTTAACCTACGTTTATTATTACGGAAAGTGGATTTTTTCGCCAGTGTAGCACAATGTACACAGAAATGTACGAATATATCTCTGAAAGTTTGTTGTAATCCTAATTTTATGAATTAAAATGTTACTGAATCGTTGTTTGCTGGTGATATACAGCCCTAATGACCCTTGTGCAGCCGATAGGTTGTATATCCAAGAAAGCAGCAGGAGATAATGCTCGTCGTATCTAACACGAAACTAACATCGACGACATCTTTTTTCAACAGGTGATGGAATACTGGGAAGACCTTTATTACTACTACACCAACGGCTATGCCTATCCCATTAACTACGAGATGGCGTGTCCTCCCGTACAGGACCTCATTCAGCACTTCAGGTATTGTATTTCTTCTTGTCCTTGCGACTACCCGTAACAGTATCAAGATTGCACGAGAGGTACATAGTATGTCTCTCTGTGTATATATAGTGAAAATGCACTTTAATTACTATTGCAGAGATTAAAATATTTTCTGACAACAGTTTCTGCAGCAGCATCAACAGCCGTAGCAGCAGCAGCAGCAGCAACAACAGTACCAGGTGACACGCAAATCTAAAATACCTGGAAATATTATAATAAAAATAACAGAAACGGTCAAAAAATGGCTTTATCAGTAATAGCCATAAAACAAAAATATAATATGTTATTGTTTTGTTTTAAGGCTGAAAAATTGTATCTATAATGTTATTTTCTGTATAGCTGTTCCTTATACTTAAGTCTGTTCTAGTGCTGACGGATATTGAGCTTCCCTACTCCTTGTAATAAATAGCCCACATGGGTTTAGCATTTCACATAAATATAATGTAATATATATTTGCTTGTCCTGTTCTGTTTACGATGCATAACTAACTTTTAACATCAAAAGCTTATTTTTACTGTATTCTATATTTTTTGGATCTGTTTAAAAATTAAGTGATGAATGATTCATTTAAGACAAGAATACATGTAGGAATCTGTTCATGTTAAACATTTAGTAAATACAGAAGAAAGTTACATAAAATAGTGTTTATGAACTAATATTTCAGATCTGCAGTATGTCTAATTTTGCTTTTCAGTTTGTAATCTTATATTGTTTTCAGATCATACGATAATTTTCAGCACTGACTTTGTATTTCAGTGAGGTGGTGGAGAGCGGGGAAGGTCCCAGTGGAGTCTTCTACTTCACACACGTCGATGCTCTGGTTCCTGTGAGTTTCTGTCTCTCTCTACGTTGACATGTCTTGATATTACTTTAACATGTCTTGATATTACTTTGACTTGTCTAGATATTACTTTGACTTGTCTTGATATTAATTTGACATGGCTTGATATTACTTTGACATGTCTTGATATTACTTTTATCTCTCGTAATTTTGCTCCGTCGTAAGTTTCAGCTTTTGCCGAATGTGGTAATTCACTTGGCAATATTCCCTATATTACTCTCTTAGTAGCACTGTTCGTTACCTGCCCCTGTGAACTGTAGCTTATATCTCTGTAATATTTCCGCTTTATCATGTAGAAAATATTTCCGTTATAAGTAGGGAGAGGAAACAAAACAAGTGTTTCCTGACGCGAGTCTTAGTCAGATGATGACCCGCCATTGGAAGCTTTGTCATCTGACCGAGGCCTTCCGAAAGGAAACCCCTTAAATGGAGAAGGAGACTGGGAAGGGGGTAGAGTCACCAGGCAGGACAGCTCTTTACTAACCCGAGAGGAAGGAACAACAATGAATTGTTGTCCAGTACAAGAAGGCCTGAGACAATGTCAACAACCTCCTGTTAGTATTTAATAACTATGCACTTTCCATAAAGCCCCAAGACCTGGCTATCAGGTAGTGGGTCTTAGTTCGTTAATTATTAATAATGAATGTTAAAATTATAAGACATATTGTCAGAGTGATCAGTCCTTCTCACCATCGCCTGTGGTAGATGGTAGCCATATCTCAGGGCCTACCAGAGCAAAACATGTATGTCTTCCGTGTTTATTTTATGCGAGAACTGAAGTAGAACTCATACACACTCAGTGCTTAAGTCAGAAAGCATATCTGTTATGCATAAGGATAGCAGATCTTAGCCTGTAAAACTGATTTGTGTAAAAAAAATAATGACTGAATCCCGGACTGTGGAAAGATTATCCGCAGGTCATGGACATGGCTTTACCAGAAGAAAACCGATGCTTTCGATCATAAAATAAGCATGTGACAGCCAACAGGAAGTAACCAAGAAACTAAAACTCGTGGGACGGTAGTCCAGCAAAACAGATCTGATTAATTTATAACTCATTCAGTTATAATTCTTGTTACGCCACACAAGCAGGCAAGCACATACGTTTGCGTGAATTCGAGTCTGCGGCGTCTAACGTCAGTAATGAGCTTATGTTAATAAATGAAACATATTTAGTGTAAAAATCATCGTTACTCAAGAGCATTTATAGCGTAGTGATAATCAGCTCCACCTACATAGCTACGCAGAATGAAGACAATCGCCATTTTGTTTCATACTACCCACTTTTAAAGTCCCACATAGCAACAGTACGGTAAGTTCTCGTATATTCGTTATCCACCGTCACATAGAAGATTGCAATCACCATAAAGCAACAAGGCGCTCACACGAAAAATACCATAAGTGTACCCGTAGTGAACATCAGGAGACATCACCAACAAGATGGCTATACGCTCATCACAGCAGTTTGCCTGATAAGTGTAGTTAACATAATCAATTGTTTGTTACATATAATACATAAATTCACATACTGATCTTGGATACGACACGATCACCCATCAGACGAGCTGGTGATACCTGTAGCTATAATGATGATGAAAAATTAAAGTATATTATCCTACATGTACCTGTCGTGTAATCACCTCTAATGAAGCAGGTGAAATGAGGCAGGTGAAATTGCCGACCTAGAAAATGTACAGAGAACTTTCACGGCGCGCATAACGGAGATAAAACACCTCAATTACTGGGAGCGCTTGAGGTTTCTAAACCTGTATTCCCTGGAACGCAGGAGGGAGAGATACATGATTATATACACCTGGAAAATCCTAGAGGGACTAGTACCGAACTTGCACACGAAAATCACTCACTACGAAAGCAAAAGACTTGGCAGACGATGCACCATCCCCCCAATGAAAAGCAGGGGTGTCACTAGCACGTTAAGAGACCATACAATAAGTGTCAGGGGCCCGAGACTGTTCAACTGCCTCCCAGCACACATAAGGGGGATTACCAACAGACCCCTGGCAGTCTTCAAGCTGGCACTGGACAAGCACCTAAAGTCAGTTCCTGATCAGCCGGGCTGTGGCTCGTACGTTGGTTTGCGTGCAGCCAGCAGCAACAGCCTGGTTGATCAGGCGCTGATCCACCAGGAGGCCTGGTCACAGACCGGGCCGCGGGGGCGTTGACCCCCGAAACTCTCTCCAGGTAAACTCCAGGTAATGAAGCCATGTAAATATCCTCCAAATATTCCCAAAGCCCCACATTGAAAAAAAGACAGGAAACACAGCTTTGCCTATTATACAGAGTGTGATTTCTAAGTGCTTTACAAATGTGATATTACACTCTTTACTGTATTAGCTTTGTATCTTTTGGTATTCCTGTAATATTCATTTCTATATCACTTGTAATATATTTATTAAAGTAGATTTCGTGTATCCAAGAACGTTCCAGTGACTGTGTCAGCTCTCTTCCACAGGTGATGACGCGCCTGGGACTATATAAAGACCCCGAACCTCTCACTCACGACCATGAGGACCCAGACCGTCTCTGGCGCTCTTCCTCACATGGCATCTTCGCCACAAACCTGGCCTTCACCCTCTCTTCCTGCGGCGCCGACGAGTAAGTTGCTTCTCACACAGTCGCCTCTCAAAGAACCTCACTCGCATATTCCAGCTTTCAATAAACTTTCTTTGAGTCCGCTTCTCGGAACCACCTGCTCATGTAACTGCATCTTGGAACCATCTGCCAAGTTACCCGCTATAGCGGACCAGCTGCCAAAGTATCCACCTAATCAGAGAAATTTATTGAGTTGACTGGGATAGACTGGGGGTTGGGAAACAGGTACATTAGGACACAATAGAAAATTAAAGGCACAGATGAGTTACATGGATGTAGGATGTAATTCTTCATCCTCTGGCTGGTGAGGAAGTGGAATCACTTGGACGAAGAAGAAGTAGAGACTAGCTCCATAAACAACTTTTGGACCAAGTATGGCAGGACCCACGGGATAGGAGTAAATCTGGCAGGCGTCAACTTAATATGCAGCGTCAGGAGCTGAGAATCGACCCTGGAATCACAGATATATATACAAAACAACTAGGGGAGCGGTTGAATCTTGCGTTCCTTGTGATCGTATTTGCTTGGACCTCCTCCTCTTTTCTGTAACACTGCAAGCTCCTGATGATGTGTTGATTACAACACTTCTCCCGTGGTTGTTGTGCATTTGGTGGTGTCTCCCCGGAGCTCTTTGAGTATTTTCGTCTCTAACATCGGAGTGAGAACAACATGCGTATTGCATGTTTAAACCCAACATAGACATGTTTACTTGTCCATCATGGCTATTAATTAAACAGTCCATCAGCCGACCTGAAGTGCTGCTATAAGAAAGTTAACACTGTGGTATTCATTGTAAATAAATTCCAAAATTTTCATTATGCACAGTATTAGATCATTGGTTTTTTCAAAATATCTTTTTCTCTCCGTAAAATAATTCCGTGTGCCGCCTCAACCAGGTGGTGGGTGAGTCTTGCGATGAGCGAGCAGGTGGTGGCACTAGGTGGGTGTGCCAGCCCCTTGGGATGTACGTGGGAAGAGTTCATGGCTACCTACGGCTTCCTGGAACAGTGTGATTTGGATGCCATCTGTAACAACGCATCTACTTGAAGTAGCTCCTCGGCAGGTGGGTATCTGGTGGTGGTGGCGGCGGCCGTGGCAGTGGCCGTGACCGTGGTGGTGGTGGTGGTAACGGTAAATGTGGTGGAGATAATCATAATAATGTTAATGGTAGTGGTGGTGACCATATCTGTGATGGTGAAGTAGTGGTGACTATATTGGTGGTGGTGGTGGTAAAGGTAGTGGTGGTGACTACACTGGTAGTGGTGGTGGTGTCAGTGGTAGTAGAGATAGTTGAAATAGTGAGTAATAAACCGCGACAATAACAGCTGGAATAATTCACATCAGATCAACAAACTGTAAATTAAACGCAACTATATTTGGGTCGGTCCTGGACCATTATTCTGCTCACTCGCGATTTTATAAAGATCCAAGATAAACCGAAATGTCATAAATGTTCATAACTAACCCTCCATTTCGAGGGTTGGTTATGAACAGTGATAGTCTTGATGGTAGTACTGATAGTGGAGATGGAGATAGTAAGACTGGTGTATATGACGATAACCGCAATAGAATTATTATTATTATTATTAAAGATTCGCCGGTATTCTCCCGGCCCGGGCCTTTTCCAAGTGGTGGCCCGGCCTTGGCTCCCTCTTTAGGGAGTGTCTGAGACCTAAGTCTCCCATGGGAGGAGGCACAAGTACCTCCTCATCTTTGGGACCAACTGTCCCCAGGCCTAGCCACAAGCTAGGCCTCTCTGGTCTGCCATCCCCGCCCCAAGGGAGCTAATGGGAATGACAGTCTTAAGAGCTAAAGGCTCGGGGTCAGGCACCTACCCTACCCTAGAAAGGTTAGGCATGGTGTCGATGCGCAATAGAAAAAGGTCTGTTGTCTATACATGTGAGAGGATGGTGTAATACATGTGTGTATGCAACAGGTCAAGAACGGCACAGAGTCGTTCAGAAAGTAAACAGTGATGTACAGTACATGCGATGTAAATGATTTAGAAAAATGACAAGTTGAAGAATAAGACACCTGTGCGATATTTAGGAATCTTTATTGACTGAAGAAGCCACTGGCTGGCGAAACGTTTCCACAATAAAGATTCCCAAATGTTGCCCAAGTATCTCATTCTTCACTGTGTAGTACAGTTGACAAGGTCATTTTTTTCCCACAGCCAGTCGTGATAGCTAGTTGATGTGAGTGACGAGGTCCTCCACGTGAATATCCAACCTCTTCATCTTCTCACATGCTGCTTGTTCTGGAGAGCCAACTTCTTCACCTGGGCAGGAAACATCATCTAGATCCTAGAATACCCGGACAACAGATCTCTTCACCTAACATCAAACATCCTCAACTAGAATACCTGGATGATTAACATCGTCACTTTGATCGTAGAATAACTTTTTTTATCATACTTCTTCAGCCAGGTCTATACCTTCATGCTATATTAAAAGCGCATATCACGTATTAATTATGAGATATTAACAAAGATTTAAAAAAATATATTAAAAATAAAAAAAATTGACCCTGTCAGTTTGACTTAAAATCCACTGTGAGTTACCTGAAGTGAGAGAATGTGTTGTGAATTTAATCTTGACAACCAGCACTTCAAAAGATAAACAGGAAACCCAATAGTCAATAAAATCGGGAAATTGACATCTGCTTATTCCAACAACAATCCGAAACGTCCATTAAGTAAGATATAACAGTTTTGAAAGCTTGAGGACGACCATAAGAGCGGCTCTTACCTTATCACATGTTAAACAGTACACCAGTTTCATTAATGTTCTTGGTAAACTGGCGTCTGTGCAACCTATTAATAGGCCATTATACGGAAACCATCCGGGAAGAGGTAACTAAAAAAATGTTCCAAATATACGTAATAATAATTTAGTGTATACCGCATATGACTAAGATTTGGAAAAGATGACGTTGCATCGAACTCTAAATATCTTTCAAATGATGACAAGGAAATTGGTTCCATTTTTTCTTACATTTAATGCTTTTTACTGAATACTAAAATAAAAGTAATAATAACGATGTGTTTTCTCTTGCACGAACCAGTACAATTATCCCCGTTTTGTATAATGTCAGAATCTCATAGTTCCAATATATATAATGTGTAACGGCACTACTCATTATATAATAACACTGGCAAAGTGGTAAATAAATAACTCGCAGTCAGTCGAGACATCCCTTCAAGATGAACCAACAGTTAAATAATGAAGCCGCTAAGAAAAGACATTCTCCAGTTACTGCAAGGACACCAATTTCTCATTTTTCTCAGTCTCATTTCCTGGTGATGTTGGTTCATGTTTAAGTGGTGGTGGGACTGAGCGACTTAGTTTGACTAAGAACCCTCCACCCCATCCCTAATTTGCATTACATAAACGGGAATTTTCCCCATTCGTTAAATTTTGTTCTATGGGAAAATGGAAGATATCACCATCTGTTATCCTTTTAGTGCTCCCACCAGCTAGGAGCATCAGAATTGAGCTAGAGAAGTACACAATCCTGACTGTGCCAGGAACTATCTTGAGAGACTGTCGTAAATACTAGAACAACCAGGTCAATGTAACACCAATCCTGGAATCCACCAGGCTATTCCAGGTATAAACACATTACAATTCTTATAATTTAGTCAGGGAATCAAAGTAAGGCGAGTGTCTAGAATAAAACGTAGCAGATCTGGCCTTTGGTTAAATATAATGAAAGAGCTTTGTCCAAAGTAATTCAGCACACTGGTATGATTCTACAAAAAACTTTCACAAATCTCATGTGTTGTTACCAACTGACTGCCACGAAATTAACATGGAGGCAAAGGGGAATAAAATACTTTGTCTAGGTATTTATTCCTGAGCCTCCATGTTCTGTAAATTTCACAAAATGTTAAACAAGTGGTCAGTACTTGAGGTATGGTTGCCGGGAAGGGCTGATAATCTCACCTTTATAAAAAGTAAATATATATTATACAAAACAATAACATATACAACTCCACACAAAAACAATACATCGGCAGACCCCCATAAGCGGCTCAAAGTCGGGCCACATTGTTATTATTACAGTCAAAACCAAGTGCTAAACCCACAAGGGTCATAACTAGGCCACAGGAAGACAAAACACCATCAATGACATGTGGACCGCCCCACTTCCTTGCCACCCTCCAACACACACACACACACACACACACACACACACACACCACACACACACACACACACACACACACACACACACACACACAGAGGAGCTCGGACTCGACCCCCGCAACCTCAACTAGGTGAGTGAGTACACAAAACATGCCAGGCACCTTCCAGGGGCCCACGTGAGCATAAACAAACCCAAACATAATTTACGGCCACAGGCATCACAAGATGCCTGTGGCCGTAAACACACCAACACAGCTTCTCAACGACTCCCTCCCCCGAGAAGCTAACACCATAGTCACACTGCTACAATGTTCACTCCCTAAAAACTCCCACAAATTGATGACATCATTTAAAAGGAACTTACACTAACATCTTACATTATGAACTTCACATTAATGCAGAAACCTGCATAACTCTGATAAAATATATCTTGCTTTATTGAGTGACGGGAGTGGACTGATCTCGGCCACCCAGCAGCCCATCTGGTTGACAGGAGGAAGACTATGAGGTGCTATCAAAAACATCCCGTACTCGAATTTTCGCTCACTTCCTGGGTGAAATATGGTGGCGGCGTAGATCATACCGCAGTACTCTCCTTTGTGAAAGTAGTGAGGCGAGTTTCAGTGCGGTTGGTCATTCTGTTGAAGCTAGAAGGGGATGTTCTGTTGTGCTGTAAGTGCAAAGTTACGATTTTTAGTGTAACAGAATGGAATCTTTGAAAAAAGAACAGTGTATGTGTGTTTGTGTGTGTGTGTGTGTGTGTGTGTGTGTGTGTGTGTGTGTGTGTGTGTGTGTGTGTGTGTGTGTGTGTACTCACCTAACTGTGATTGCAGGGGTCGAGTCTCAGTTCCAGGCCCCGCCTCTTCACTGATGGCTACTAGGTCCTCTCTCTCTCTGCTTCCAGAGCTTTGTCATACCTCGTCTTAAAGCTATGTAGGGTTCCTGCCTCCACTACATCACTTACTAGGCTATTACACTTCCTGACGACTCTGTGACTGAAGAAGTACTTCCTAACATCCCTGTGACTCGTCAGAGTCTTCAGTTTCCAATTGTGATCCCTTGTTTCTGTGTCCCCTCTCTGGAACATCCTGTCTCTGTCCATCTTGTCTATTCCACGCAGTATTTTGTATGCTGTTATCATGTCTCCCCTGACCCTCCTGCCCTCCAGTGTCGTCAGTCCGATTTCCCTCAACCTTTCTTCATAGGACATACCCCTGAGCTCCGGAACTAGCCTTGTTGCAAACCTTTGTACTTTCTTTAATTTCTTGACGTGCTTGACCAGGTGTGGGCTCCAAACTGGTGCTGCATACTCCAGTATGGGCCTGACGTACACAGTGTACAGTGCCTTGAACGACTCCTTACTAAGGTATTGGAACGCTATTCTCAGGTTTGCCAGGCGCCCATATGCTGCAGCAGTTATCTGGTTGATGTGCGCCTCCGGAGATGTGCTCGGTGTTATGGTCACCCCAAGATCTTTCTATTTGATTGAGGTTTGCAGCCTTTGTCCACCTAGCCTATACTCTGTCTGCGGTCATCTTTGCCCTTCCCAATCTTCATGACTTTGCATTTGGCGGGTTTGAATTCGAGAAACCAGTTGCTGGACCACGTGTCCAGCCTGTCCAGGTTTCTTTTTAGTCCTACCTGATCCTCATCCGATTTAATCCTTCTCATTAGCTTCACATCATCTGCG